CCATCATTACCCTGTCTTTTTGCCCAGATCCTTCTCATTTCCTTCCCCTCATCTCTCTACCCACCAAACTGTGCAGCCCTGTAGTTCACCCCTACCTAAAAACAAAACAACAAATATATATATATATATTCCAAATATTCTCCAAAGCCATAGCTCTAACAGAGACATAGCCAAGAATGAAGAAACAAAAATATAATCTCTTTTGTTCACACACTTACAGCCTTACAAAGCACATACTACCTGGACTATTCTTGGAATCATAGATATTATTACAGAATCTACTTTAATAATGTTAAATGTTAATTATATTCCAGGTGTCAGCCTTGGCATGCTGTCATGAGGCATACGGTGTAAGCGTCATGATAGGAGCACCTCCTGGTCCCAACCTTGAGATGAACCCATTGTTGCTACTGACTGGACGCACCTGGAAAGGAACAATTTTTGGTGGTATGGAGTTAGGCTAAAAGATCAAATCTTATAATTTTTATAATTAAATGTGTCAACATCCAATTTAAAAAACTAACATCATCACAAACAACCTTTGATTACAACCAAGTATGTTAATTATTTGCACCAATGACTGGAACATACCTAGTAGGATCCAAAAATTGCATAGCAAGAATCTGTGTCTGCACAATACTCATATTTAAACAGTTGCTAGGTTTGATCCTTTACTTTAAGTATAATCACCTGTACTTTAGTGAATGATTCAGGAAGCATGAAAAGAAGATGGTAGGAATACACAGTAACACTGTACCGCAAAGAATTGGTCAACACTGAAAATTTCAAGAGCCACCATATGAACAAGAGCCAATATGGTAACAAAGATATAAGTTTGAATGGCACTGAAGAAACTGGCAAAAAAAAGGAAGAAGAGTGAATACATAATGAACACCACATTGAAACAGATGGGGGGGAATGTCTGAAGGCGATATATGATTAAGCCTGATACGCATGACATAAAACAAAAGGTGTGTCGAAAAGTGGATTGGGGGAGAGCAAAGAGAGGGGAAGAAAGGAAAATTTACAACAATGAATGAATGAAAACCCAACCTTTCTGTAAACTTTCATTAAAATCACAATAAAAATATTTTTTAAAAAAATAAAGCCCCAGCAATAGATGGGTTACCAGTTGACATGATTCAACTAACAGATGTAACCCTGAAAAGGATCACTAATCTATGCCAGAAAATTTGGAGGACAGGTGCTTGGCTAACTAATGGAAAGACATCTGTATTTGTTCCCATTTCCAGAAGATGGGAATTACCAAACAATATTGTTAATACAAAATGAAGCAAAATAATCTAGAAGATCATTCAAAAACACCTGCAACAGTGTGTTGACAAGTAACTGCCAGAAGTTCAAGGAAGATTTGAAAAGGCTGTGTCTCTTTTGTGAAGTCATTGCTGCTGTTATATAGAACCTGGCTGAAAGCAGAGAATACTGTAAGAATGCCTCTTTGCATTTTACTGACTATGCAAAGGCATTCATTTGACTCTGTGGATCAGTCTATGCAACTATGGCTAGCATTGAGAAGAATGAGAATCCTGGAACACTTAATTGTGCTCACATGAAATCTCTGCCTGAACTGAGAAACTGTTGTCCAAACAGAACAGAATACTACATGATTTAGAATTGAGAAGGAAATGCATGGGGGCTGTGTCTTTTTTCCAAATCTATTCAATCAGTATACTGAACAAATAATTCATGAAGTTTAATTCTGTGAAGATTAATATAGTATCAAGATCACAAGATGACTTATCAACAACCTCCATTATGCACATGGCATAACTTTGCATGATGAAAGTAAGACCTGAAACTCTTACTGCAGAAGATCAAAGTCTACAGCCTATAGATTGCATCTCAACACGAATAAAACAAAGTACCTTACCACTAAGCCAATAGGCAACATCATGAT